TGACTTAACGTGTTTTTTCTCATGTGCAAGGTTATTCTGTCTGTAAAACTGCCAAAGTTGCTTTAAAATTATTAATTCTGTATTTAAAATTCTATATCGGATATCGAGGATCGGATAAGAACAATATGAAGCCGCCTTAGGGTTCACTGTTGTTTCACGGGGTTCAAAGCCCATTGCCTACTTTCCTTGTTTTTGTAAGGTTAGGTTATTTGAATATGGCAGTGCACACGAGGATTATCTGCGTAAGCGGAGAGAAGGGAAATTGGCTCGTATTCGTATGACACATGGAAAAAACTATAAAAACAAACAATGGAGACAGCCTGTTCGCCTAGGATCAAACCCAGGTCAAATTCCCAATATTTAGCGGTTTTAATCACTAAGCCAGTAACGTTTTGGTACAGAAGAAAGAATAGAATAAGAAATTACACAGTAAATTTGAGGGTCCATGAAGTCTGAGCTCCTAGGATCAACACTTGTTGGCCTTAGTGGTAATCAGCCTTGACTTGAATTTTAAACGTTTCGAGTGCCCTGCAGTTAGAAATCACAACGTCTGAGATTATGCTAGGTAATGAAACGACTAATTGCTGTTTTTCCGTGAATTTCAGTGGCAGCTTTTGGTCCATTAAGAAATCGTGTTTTGTCTTGCATGAATATAGCAGAATCTTCTTTGCTATTACCGAAGTTTTAGAACAATAACACCGTGTAGCATCTCTCGGTACCAGACAATAATAACATACACACAGGCGGGTTAAAAAACTTAAGGGCCTATTGGGCAGTTGTCCTCAAAAACGTGCAGGACAGTGATTAATGAGGCAGTAAATCATTTCACGTATGACTTTGATGAGCGTAGAGGTTTCTGGTGAAATACATAAGGGTTATCTGCAACCCAGCTGTGTGCGTTAAAACTACTACCGTTAAGGTTAAAATACCTCGTCACGTGTAAGATCATCTTCAAGGCCATGCTGCATCGATATCCATTGAAGCTGAGAATGCCAAGGAAAACAGCTTTCGAATTTACGCACCACCATTAAGCAGTTCCTGAGGATGGGAAATCTTGCAAGAAGGAAAATAAATTTGTATCTTCTGTATTATTTTTACACAGTTGAGGAAGAAGTAAGACATACCCAGCAACTTAATATTGCGAGTACTCTTTTCGCTAATCCTTGTTCCATAACGTCATAATTATGTTTAATTATTGAAGATTATTTAGTTTAATCTCTTGCCTATTGATAAAGAACTGGCACATTAATATTATCGTTAATTTATTCATTTTTCTGAAACTTGCTTTACCGTTGGTTCTTTTTTCACGACCTTTAACCATAAAATTCTCAATGCTACAACCTTTTAGGTATTAGAACCAGACTAGCAAAGCTAATAGGCTTTTCTTAAATTATTTTTGCCAATATTTTCCTCCTTCACATTCTTCAAGAGCCCAGACTGTTAGTTTAAAACTTAAGAGACATTAAAACTCGACTAAAACGAGTGACAGATTCACGAAGTAGGAGGAAGGAATTTTCATATGATGTTTTGGCAACCTTTCTTGAGACTCAGGCTTGTTTAACGGTGTCTGAAATTAATTAATGATTTGGAGGCTTTTTCAAACGCAAGGTCTCACGAAATACAACTTGTACAATTCCAAAACTTCGCCTCTGATTTGTAAGGAAGCCTGTTTTTAGGCAAGCCGACAATCTTGACAGCATCATTTTCCTTAAATACACAAGACTATCAGTGAAAAGAGCCAGATAATCCAAATTTTTTGTCATATTTTCCCTGGTTGTAGAAACTGGAACTTTTGTTTTCATAGTAACTTGAATCCTGTGTTCCAACATGCACATTTCTATATTCCACTAGTGCAGTTACAATGTGTATTAAAATTAAAATGACTTTCGCACATGCTAAAGGAAAATAAGATCGCGAGTCGCAAGTAAAGGAAACAGAATTACGCTTTCCCTGAATAGTAACTTCAGAAGAATGTTTTAAGAACTTTTATGTAAAAATTGCAGTTTTTTAAAATGGAATAGTTATACTTTTGTTCTTTCAAAGGTATAAATAAAATGTATTATCTTCAAAAGACTAAATAAAGTTTATTAATGTTATCAACGATGGATTTTTATTGGAAAGAACCTAGTTTCTATTATATTTCAGTAACGTCCTGGAAGATAAATTTCATCTCGATATGAAAAGGTGTTTGGTTTTGTACAATAAGCGTATCGCTGCAAGTACCTTTTGTACAATAAGTCTATCTCTTGAACTGTAATTGTCTGTACTTATTCCATGCCAACGGTTAAGATATAAACTAAATAAGCATTTAAAACTTTTGGGACTTATGATTAGATGCTACCTTAAAAGACTGTTTTGGGAAGTTTTATTTATCCAGAAGGTTTACTTATTGAACTGTCTAAAGTATTTAAACATCTAGAAAACTTGTGAAAAGCTATTACTGTAGAAATAATTACCTTTTTTTCAATGCTTAGTTTAACCTGTAAGTTTATTTGCCGAATCGTCTTATCTACTGTCGCATTTTTAATCAGTTCAGCATTTCAAAACTCTTGGTATGCAGCACAATATTGCCTTTAAAACTCAAGACAATAGATCTGGAGACCATACTTGAATACTGGAAAATTTTGGCCGAACATCCTGTCCACCTTTGAAAGAATTAACGACACTGGTTACCTCTTTCAAAAGTCTGTTAGAGATAAGTTCTCCAAGGAGACCGACAATAGTATTCACGACTACGAAACTCGGAGATGGGATATATTGATTGGCTTACATTCATAGGTTTGATATTGTATAGTACTAGCACTGCGCAGAATTATTACTTGCATCGTTATACCAACACTACTTACCGGCATGCGTTCATAAAATAAAAGAGAAATTTCGATTATGATGCATTAAGATTAGGTAATGATGTAATAAATTCATGCACATTTGTCATCTGCATAGAGTCCTCACAGGTATGCTACCAACACTACGTTGAGTTCTCACAGGTTTGTCATCGAAGGATCGGCACTGCGCAAAATGGAATCCGCATAAAATCGACGCAGGATCAACAAAGTGTAAAATCAACATTACGTAAGAAAGACACCTGCACAGAATCAGCAAGTGTATGATTGACTCCAGAAGAAGATCAGCAGGCTGTAGAATCTGCACAACATAGAATAAACGTCAGCAGAAGATCAACACAGCATAGGATCGACACAGGATAGGCACCAGAACATGATCAACAAGGCGTAAAATTGGCACAACACAGGGTAGACACCAGTACAGGATCGATATGACATGGGATATACAACTGCGTAGGATAAGTGTAGCATAGGAGTGACAGGACATAGGATAATAAAGCACAGGATCAACAGAGCGTGAGATCGACACGATATACGACATCGATCGTAAAGACGCCAGCATAGCATCAGCAGGACATAAGAAAGACACCAGCATAGAATCAACAGGGCGTAAGGCCGACACAACACAGGATAGACATCAGCACCATGTCGACAGTGTATGGAATCGATAAGACATAGGATAAACACCTGAATAAGAAAAGCATTGCAAAAGATCGACACGATGTAGTATAAACACAACACGAGATCAACAGGACGTGGGATCAACATGACATAAGAAACACGTTAGCACGGAATAAACGGGGTGTAGGATCGACATGATGTAGGATAGACACCAGCATGGAATCAATAGGGTATGAGATCGAACACCAGTACATAATCGATATCTTCATTGCATAGCAAAGATTTATAATTAGCAGTGATGCATAGTTAAAAATTTGGTTAAATTATTATTTTTAGGATATTTGCATAGCGTCGACTCTGGCATAAGACCTAAACTGATATCTCTCAACCCTCGGTTTGTCGAGATAGATTGTAAATCTTACGAAGTGTCGATCCTGTATGTTAGATTTTCGTCATTTTAATTTTTCATTATGTTTAATAACTTGAGTTACATTTGCATTGTGTAGCATTTCCATCGCTCATACTTTCTATTAATCAGTCTTAGTTTTGAAATTTGATGAAAGTTGATCAAATAAATTTTATAATATTTCATCCTTAAAGTATCCAGCTGGAAGTAAATAGTGCTCCCTTTCAGAAGAGCCTAATTAATAAAGAAAATGTTAATTAGAGACTGTGTGAGAAGCCGATCAGTTTAGGCAGAGAACTGACAAACCAGTAGTTTTACTTACTAGCCAATTTTAATATATAATTTTCTATTGTCACTATCGTTATGTAAAATAGAACTACAAAATTTTGCTCCACGGTCTTATCGCTATTGGCCGGGGACAATACAAATTTGGTAACCCACTCAATAGTTTCTTTTATTATTCTTCGCAAGGTAGTTCATTTTTTTCTAATAAACTTTAAATTCAGTTTGGTATGCCTAGCTACAAATATGCAGTAAAACCTCTTATGGCGTTTATCTTCCATAAGTGATTACCTCTTGAAGTGAAAAATTCTCTGACCAAGTCAACCACTTCCGCAAAAAATCAAATTATTCAGATCTGAGGAGGGGGGTCCTGTAAGAGATATTGCATGGTATTTTAAACGCTTAAAGAAATTTATAATAAGCAACCTTTAGAAGCAGCAGATTTAATTGATAATTTAGGATTTTTAATTACAAATTTATTCCGGATAACAATTTCCTTTCAAATTTTACAGTAAATGACATTTATTTAGGTATTTTTAAAAACAAACACTAATGGATAAAATATAAAATAAGATGCTTATTGTGTATTCCAGAAGTAAATTTCTTTGTTTGATTTCGTCAACATTTCTGTTCTGTGAATATCATGACTGTTTGCACGCACCATGTATATCTTCAAAAAGCTATTGCATTCTTTGTAACTTGCACCAGGAAGTAATACTAACAGTTATTTTAAATGGCATTAGTATTAAACCATTGCTAAGACCACACTGAAAGAGTTTTATTAAGATACTTGCCGATTAAAATGATGCTTCTTATTCACAGTGCATTTTTTTAAATTCTAATTTCAGGTTGCAGCAGCGGTTTCATCACATTCGAACTGATAACAGGCTATGTATACAGCTCTCCTGGGGACACGATGGAACTCGTACCAGGAACCCTGAAGCTCACCGACTGCCTCGCCCTCTGTAACCTCAACGCCACATGTCAAGCGGTCAATTTCGAGACTGGACTGTGCGTGCTCTTCAGTTCCAGCGCTGTCCAACGACCCTCCTCTCTCACACCCTCACAATTCCCCGTCTTCACGATTTACGCCCACAAAGTCTGCCTCCTCGGTGAGTTCCACAATCCATTAAGATGGTGCAATGATATGTCGTCTCCCTCTTTAACTCCGAGATTGCTTCTGGTTCCTTGACCACGGAATGTCAAATGGCTATTTAAACGCGAGATCTCTATTTCCTGAACCCTGATGGTGGAATCTTTTTTTATTATTATTCTGGAGCTACGAAATGATTGTGCCTTTTTTAACCGCGCAATGGTTTCTGCCGAGAATTAAAGCAATGGTTTGGTGTGTGGGAACGAAAAGGAGATTGGGGGGTCTTTAAACTTACCATTAATTTGGTTTTCAAGTAGCAAGGTAATCATGATATTACTTTTAACAAGTTCCTCATACTTTAGATGGAAATTGTTTGGGCAAATACACGAGGGCACTATCTCTTTAATGAAGAATACTGTCGTTTGGAAAAAAGTAAAATGGGCATAAGAAATTGAAGCAGGTAGTTTTCGGAACTGAGTTGAGTTTTCTTGTGATTTTCGCTACTGAGACTCTACTATCAGTAAAATATTTTATTAAAATACTCATCAAGCTGTAATGAATTTAAGCGACAGCTTCGTGGAAGGCGGATACTGTATAAAAATGTTATAGATTTTTAATCTGAAAACGTTAGAAATAAAACTATGACCTTTTCATCTTGTTAAATATATCTCGAAATCCTTAGTAGCTAAAAGAAGAGAGTATTGAAAATGAACAGTGTCTTGATGTTTTTTATGCATTGATAATAAAATAATTGAAAAAACGATTCTGAAGGGATTCAGATTTTAACATCGCACCAGAGGATTTATTAATGATGTTTTTGCTCTTACCCAGATCCACGTTTAGCAATCAGCTCTTGCAATCACTCTGCAAACACAACATTTTTGTCTTTTTAAATTTATTGATTAAACATCGCTTTCTTCGCACTTATAAAATTCAAAAGTAAAAATCATAAAATTTTAAAAGCAGCTTATTTTAAAACACAGTGCTGTCATATATATTTTCTATTTTTTCCCGCCTTTTCTCAGTTCATCCTATCACTGTTCGTTTTCTTAACAGAATGACAATACACACCATTTTTTTTTTTTTTTTGGTCTTTTTAACTTTGTTATTAATACCGCTTTCTTCGCATTTATTCGAGGTGAAATTTAAAAGTAAAATCTCATTTTTAAAAGCAGAATATGTTTAAAATTCTCGACAGAGTTAAGTATTGCTATATATTTTTCTATTGTTTTTTCAATTCAATAAGTCAATGTTCAGTTTTCTTAGTAAAGACTTTAACAACTTCTTTTGACTTTTATTATTAATTTTTTGACTTTCTAACTTTATTATTAAACGGTTACAGGCGAAAACGTCACGGAGAAAGCAAATGAAAGTGAAAACATCGCCGAAGGAAAAAAAAATCAAGGAAAAACATCGCAGTTCTAAACATCGTGACATAAAAAATATCGTCATCGAAAATAAAGAGGTTCGAGCACATCGTAGGTTTAAAACATCATCGTAAAAAATATCATTGCAAAACACAAAAGCAACTACAAATCATTGCACGACGAATAACATCGCAGAAATCTGTGTTTCGGGTTTTAAAAGTTGTAAATGTATATTCGTATAATGATTTGCGAGCGCAAGAAGGAGGACTATTTTTACACTTATATTTCATATTTTTGGATTAAATAATATTTTTTTGCTAAAAAAATATTATTATTAAGGAAACTTAAGCATTCAAAAACTGAAAATAGGTAGAAAATTAGTCCTACTTATTAGTAGACTTTTAAATTTATATACTTAAGTCATTATTTAGTTAATTTCTTATATGAAATTATATTGGCAGTTTTTCATGAAAAATATTATCTAAAAAAAATCACAAAAGGGAAGATGAGTAACTACATGAGCCATATTAAAAGTGTTTAATTGATTATCAAATCGTAAAATTATTTTCTTTCGCTTCTTTAATCTAATATTTAGTAATCATTAAATCTTCTTTTGCTTCAATTAATTAAATAAATTTACTATAGGTAACCTCATTCAGTTATTCACCTTTCTAATACTTTAACCTATATTTTTCATAAAAAACTGCCAGTACAACTTTATAAAAATACGCGTAAAAGAATAAATTTTAATTGTAAAGTTCATAAGTTTAGAATTCAAGTATTTCTTAAAAATAATTAAATGTCTTTCTTTTTTTTTTTTTTTTTTTTTTTTCTTTTTTTTAAAGTACATGGTGATAACACTTGGCGTTTAATGTTGCCATATTCTTTTTTATATTCATTATATCTTTAAAAATAATGTATGTGATATATCTTTAAAAACAATGTAACATTTGGTGGCAACTTCCATTAATTTTAAAATGTAATACGAACAAAAAACTAAAGATCGAAACTAATTTCACCTCTGGTACCTAAAAGAAAAATAAATAAATAAATAAAATCTGAGAGCTTTATAATTTTAATGGTCGCCCAAAAGAGCTGATAAGGTTTTTTTTTTTTTAATTTTTATATTTTTTCATTCTTTTCTGAGTTTATCATATCAATATTCAGTTTTGTTAGTAAGATGTCTAATAAAAAAGAAATTTTGCCTTCTTATTATTAACGTTTCATGTGTTAATTTTATTTATTGAATATCATGATTTTCGCATGTACGCCACATAAAATTCAGTTTAACCAAAAAGTAAAAAAGTATTTAAAAAAATCATATCTCTAGAATTCTCGATAGAGCGTTAGAGGTTGCCATATATATATTTATATTCGCTATATTAGCTCTTTAAAAAGTAGTTCCTCGCGCAATCAGCTGCCTAAAATAGTTGTCATGAAAATAAAAAAATATGTAGTAATTTTAATGAGCCTAGCTAGTGTAATTTCATAAAAATAATGAATAATTCTAATTAGACATCTCATGATTATAATATGCATATTTATTCAAATCTATCACATAAAAAAGTAGAAAAAACTATTCTGAAGAACTGCGTTTATTTGTTTTTAATTCGTGAGCTTATTACTCAGTAAACTTCCAGATAAAATTTGAATGTACGGCATTTTACTGAACGGCAGCACGCTGGCTCGTGAAAGGTATTTTGTTTTTGGCTGCGGCAACCCGTTCCTTTCATAGAACTGAGTTCATTAATTAAAACTGAAAAATAAACATGTTACATGACAACAGTCTCGCGTGCTGGAGATAAACATGTTACACGGCAAAAGTCTGGCGTGCTGAAGATAAATATGTTGCATGGCAAAAGTCTCGCGTGCTGTAGATAAAAATGTTCTATTGCGAACAGTGTTGCCGCTGCTGCTTCCAAATCGTTGAGTTTGTTAATCAAAAATTCATTAAATTTTTATAAAATATTAAATAAATAATAAAATGCAAATAAATAATAAAATAAATAATTAAATAAATAATAAAATGCAAATAAATAATAAAATAAATAATTAAATAAATAATAAAATGCAAAATTCGAGCTTCTAGTTGCACGTGTTCGGGTGGAAGACTACGATATTCAACATTTAACGGCTCTAGGTACTGTCGTTTTTTAACAGTGCGAGGAACATACATACATACACGCAGATTCTTCATTATTTAATTTCCTTAAAAAATAATACAAGGTGATAATATTTGGAGCCAATGATCTTAAGAATGATTCACAGTTAATAGTGAACCAAAGTAAAATCCCATTTCGAGTGTAATAACCGCTTTTAGTTTTAAAAAACAAAACTTGAGATTACTTTTGAAATAAGCTTATGAAAATCTTCGAGCCTCCATAAGTCAGAAAGATGTTAAAGTGAAATGAGGAAAGTTCCAAGCATTATAATTTGTTGAATAATCATAGATTGCAAAGCTAAATAATTCCATTTATCCACTTCTAAGCTCCCGGCCGAATCAGAAAAATATTTGTAGTGATGATAGTTTTGAAAGTTAAAACCGATAATTATACCAGAAAATCTCGGAACTGACTAACTAGAAATACAAATTCTCGTGAGCAGTTAAGAGGCACTTGTTCGAATTTACTGTATAATTACTCCAGATTTTAAAATGCCCCAAATCCTCCTATAAGTCTTTATAACCCTTTTTTTTTTTTTTCTTATAAAACAAGGAAATTGGATGTCGGGAACCCCCCGAAAGAAATGTTATACGTAAGGTTTCAGACAATCTTAACCAAGGTTATTAGACAAAGAAGGTGTTCCCGACGTTGACGTCACTTGCTTACACAAATGGAAGAAGCAAAGACAAGAGGAGCAGACTAGAAGTCAGTGATGTCACACAAAAGTAAACTTTGTAGTAAGGTCAATAGGCAAATAAGATTAGGCTCTTCCCAACACTGACTTCACTTGCTTACGCAAGTGGTAGAAAGGAAGACACAAAAGTAGTAGTTAGTTTTGAGCAGACGAGAAGTCAGTGACGTTTGTATAAGAGCAAACCTTGTAGCAAGGTCAACGCTGACGTCACTTAATCATAGAAGTGGGAGAAACGAAGATACAAGGACTTAGTTGCTTTTGAGCAAATTAAGATGTCAGTGACGTATTATATAAGAGCACAATGACACTCTTGTAGCACAATAACTTACCGGGTGCTGGTAGGGCAATATTTTATACATTTGGAAAACTAACATTTTATTAAAATTGGAGTTTTTAGTCTCCGCCTACCATATATGAAACATATGGAATATTTCTCATGATATATATTAAAATTGTAAAAAAAAATATGTTAAAAAGCGCTTACCGGTCCTAATTGAGATATTACAATATTAAATAAGAAAGTTCTTAAAGAATAGTCCAGTACACAGTTATTTTGGAGGAGAATCAATAAGTGCATTGAACTGTGAAGTGCTCTTCGATAAAGACAAACACGCATTTCGTGTTGGATGCCATTCGGGCACGTAAACAAAAAACTTTACGACGGTCATGCTGCTGAAGATTTTTCTCTGCATTTGTTCTTCACCTTACCATGGAGAGCGGTTCGAGATTACTTTTGCTGACGTAATGGGAATAGAAGTTATTTGAGGTTAGAGCTAAGATTTGTGTAAACCGATCT